TGTGTGTGTATGTGTATGTGTGTGTATATGTATGTGTGTGTATGTGTATGTGTGTGTAGTGTGTGTGTATGTGTATGTGTATGTATGTGTGTATGTATGTGTGTGTGTATGTGTGTATGTCTATGTGTATGTCTATGTGTATGTCTATGTGTATGTGTGTGTGTATGTGTGTATGTCTGTGTGTATGTCTATGTGTATGTCTATGTGTATGTCTATGTGTGTGTGTATGTGTGTGTATGTGTGTGTGTATGTGTATGTGTATGTGTATGTGTGTGTGTATGTGTGTTGTGTGTGTGGTGTGTGTGTGGTGTTGTGTGTGTGTGTGTGTGGTGTGTGTGTGTGTGTGTGTGTGTGTGTGTGTGTGTGTATGTGTGTGTGTGTGTGTGAGTAAAAATTTATGTGTATGTAAATATATATATGTGTGTGTATGAACTGGGAGTTTTGCTTTGCCCCTTGACCCCCAACTGATCAATGCATTCCCCTGGTTGGAGGCTCTGCCTCTGAACCCATTTCTAAATGCTATGGAATTTTGAAAAAAATTAAGATGAGAATCATAAAAAAAAAAAAAAAAAAAAAAAAAAAAATGGTTACCTTAACAAAAACTGAGACACTTTTCATCTATGGCAAAAGGTGCGCTCATCAAAAATAAAGGAGACACATGACAGAGAGGAGAAAAGATCAACCCATCTTTTTCTAAGTCCCTTATGTTTACATTGTGTCTATAAACACTAGTATGACTACATAACTCATGACCACGATCTATTAAGTAGTAGTTCATACATTACTGTGCTTCTAAAAAGATTTTGTAATTATTAACACCTGGTTTTCCTAATTCATACATTTACTGCAATCTTTAAATAACTTTCTGCATATGAGCATTTTTGCACCAGGATTTTTGACAGTGCCAGGAGACTCCATTCCTTGACAAACAGAACTGGGTAATGTTTTGTTTTCAGCGTTGATTCCAGGTCATTTATAAAACAATATAGTAGCCATGCAGAGAGAAACAGACATTGGCAACAAGTTTGATATTTGAGTCCATCAAGTGCCCCAAATGCCGAAGAAAGTGATTAGAAACCAAGGAACTAGGATGGTAGATGGAAGCAAAGAAAGGTTTGGTGGTTTACTGAGGTTTCTGCAGGCTGAGCTCTCTGGTAGGAACTATATAAAGCATATAGTATAAATCCCACAGGGGCCCCTGAGGCTGACCCCCTGGCTATGGAATATAAAGAACGTACTGTATGAATCCCATGAGCTTAGGTTAGGTTGGTTTATTGGATAGAATTTATTGTAGAAAGACCACAAGGGCTTTGTATAGTATGAATTCCTGTAGGTCTTACCAAAGATGGGTTGGATTCAGTTAAAGTTTTTCAAAAGTTGGCCTGGGAAGGCCTGATTGTCAAAATAAGAAAATATTAACTCTAATGCTACATTGGGAACTCCATTTCTTACAAGTTTGATAAGTTGGATAAGAAGTTGACCTTTCAGAACTCCCATTTTGGCCTCCTGGACAAGTTGTTCATCTCATCCTCCTTAGCAGCCAGACGAGGAGAACAAGATAATGTTACGCTAGCATTTACATGTAAACAATGACAGTTGCAGGCAACCCCAAAATAACGGTAGATAATAATATAGCCCTCTATTGTTATTATTGGAGGTTATTTCAGTGCTTGTCAGTGCAGATGTTACCCATGGCTAATTTTGCCTATAACAATGCACCCTCCCAGAGACTGTCCAAAAAAATTTATATTTTCTGCAGGAAATCTAATGATCTCATTAATTCTTTGCATTGTTTCTTCTGCAAATGAATGTTGCGGAGATCAAGCACCATTTCTCCATCAACATTCTTTAATTTGATAGTCCCAATAGCAGGGAGGGCAAGAAGTATATAACACACCAAAATCCTGCCATAAAATGACCAGCTTCAAAATGTTAAACCCTGCATTGTGTGTGTGAAACACACAATGCGCAGATAACTTTAAATAAGTGTATAGATAAATCTTAAAGTACGTAATTGAAGTATAATTACATTAAAAAAAGACTTTAAAACCATAAATATGTCACAGCAGATACTGATAATTAGCCAAATATCAAGACTTTGTGATAGGGCGAGCTTCTGCCAGGAGGTGCTCATCTTTTGGTGCTTTGAAAATCGATCTGACAAAATTGGTGGGTCAGGGAAATTGTCAAGATTGATGAATCTAAATTTGGAAAAAGAAAATATAATGTTGCTAGAGTAATTGAAGGTTAGTGGGTTTTTGGAGGAGTATGACGCGGAATTTTTTTTCTCATGCCTGTGGAGACGCATGACTCTCTCTCTTTGCTTAATGTAATAAAGGAGTGTATCCACCCAGGGACAACAGTCATTAGTGATTGTTGGAAGGCATATAATTGTCTGGAAAAAAAGGGCTATCAACATCTAACTATGAATCCTTCATACAATTCTGTTGACCCTAAAAGTAAAGTGCACTCAAATACGATCGAGCATAAATGGAGGGAGGCATAAGCAAAAGTGCCCTGCTTCAGCAGGAGGAAGTATCCCTTCGCCGGGTACTTGTCCAAGGCCATTTTTTTTAAATGGTGTACCCCACAGAGAACAAAAGATTGCATCAGTTCCTCCTCCACGCAGATCGTCTGTACCCTCCACACTGACGGTATGAGTTGTGTATTTAGAAATAATGTCCAATCATTTGACTTCGTGGTAATAAGCAGGGAGTGGGGGGAAATATTTTTATATGTTATGCTTTTGTTACTTTGGTTCGCATGATAAGCAAATATTGTGAATTGACAATTTTTTTTTCTTATGATACCGAGTTAGTACACTGTGTGTTGGGCTTGTTTACTTTCGCGGTATTTCTTTCGTTGTCCATCAGACAAAGTTTGGTTCATCTTTCTAATTATACGGCCTTTCTATTGTTATACGGAAATGAAATTTGGCTTGTCTTTCAGATAATTACACTTTTTAATGATGTTCAAATGGTATATATATTTCGACATTTACAGGTTGCTAATGACATCATGCAATCCCCCCTCCCCCCATTCCCCCAAAATGGAGCTTCGTGAACTCGATTTTACCCCTCCCCCCTTTTGGAACTTAGTCTCTGACCTGGTGCTGACAAGGGTAAATGTTTACGACAGGACCGCACCCGTCAGAAGTCCTCGACTCCTGCCAATAAGGTTGGGGATCCCATGGGGAATCGGGGGTTTGGGGGAGGGGTGAATTCGTTTATACCATGCATTTTAAAATGCAAAAGTATGCGGGAAATTGAAAATCTGAGCCAAGGATAGTATTTCAGATGACAAAGAAAGTGGAAAATGTAAAAACACGAGAGAAGATTCAGCCACGGATGATTCAACACAGTGTTGCGCAAGCATCCAGTAGGATCGCCGTATGAACAAAAAAACTCTCCTAACCAGGGGCTATGCCCCCGGACCCCCTCCCGATTGCTGTATTTCCCTATCAGGGGCTTTGCCCCGGACCCCCTCCCGATTGCCGTATTTCCCTACTGGGGCTCTGCCCCCGGACCCCCTCCCGATTATTTACCTTCCCTACCACAGCCTCTAGATCGCCACTGACTACATTTAGAAATTCAAAATGAGTTTACTTTGAAGTTGAGGGGACAGTGTTGGGAAGTGACGAACCGCAGACGAAATTCTATAATTGGGACACGGTTATTGTATTTCATTGAGCTTAGTGTTCCCCCCGATATTGTAACAATTTCAGTGAGAGATCGATTTCACCGCAAAGTTGCAAAAAAATCGGAAACACAAGTAGCACGGTAAACAACCTTCACCTTTGGAACAAACAACAGGAACTGTGACAAACAGAACTGTCAAATTTGCCGGGAGAAGGCAGAGATGCACAAGTATGGATGTACCGTATTTTTCTAATGAAACTATGGTATGTACACGGTAAAATCGATCACATCATGTATTTAAGGGATGAAAATTTGATAAATGTGTTTTTCGTTAAAATTTCATATAAAGTAGAATACAGAAGTACATTTTACTACAGTGTACTTATAAGAAATTTGTCGTGACGTTACGAACTGTATGCGCCAAAACAGTTCATACTCGGTTCCCGCGCAGCTAATTGGTTCGCTGTAATGCAAGGAGGGTTGGACTTAATCACAGGAGGCTTGTGGGACTTAGTCCCCGCATGGCATTCTGCGTACCACATTTTCGTCATTTAACTCGAACAGGTTCGCTTCTGCAAATCAATTTGATAGCAATGAATGTAGTTTTTTCATTGCCTATAACAGTATGATCTTCAATTTTCTTGTAGTCAGTGCAGTCCTATCGTAAACCTTAACCCTGACAAGTTGTCTGCACGAGCAAGACAAGGAGTTCCAAACAAAACATTGGCCTCTGGGTGACATTTGTTGCAAATTATTTTTCTTCATTTCTGACATTATTCAGTGAGTTTAGATTTTTCTTTTTCTCCGTGATGCTATCCTATGGTCTCCCCGTCTTAGTGCCATTACTATGTAAAAATATACCTTCTAGTTCAGTAATAACCATACCCTTCCTACACAACCTTCTGAATGCAAATGTTGCATATAACACTATTCCCCTTGCCAAATTATGTTCACTCAAACTTCTGTGCATAGTACTAGAACTAAATGAAAGTAGACATTCCCATGCTGCACAGCCTATTCATCATGCAACAGCGCCAAGTGAGTGACCCAAGCCAGGCAGCACCAGACTGCTGCTAGCAACCACTGCCTCCCAGCACGACACAATGGGAACGGCTTCGGACAAAACGGCGACCCGCACCCTTCCACGATCGCCGTCTGTCCTCCAAGTGCAATTTCCGAGGGCTTCAGATACGAACTCGAGGGTGAGTGAAGGCGTGTCAGGTCACGTCAAAGGAAGCCTGGACAAGGTCACCATCTGTCCCGCTTGACCTCCGACCCCCATGCCAACCTTCGTCTCTCTTGCACACCTCTCACTTCCCCTGAGTGACGTAGGGGGAGCAGAGAGGATTGCTGGCAGCTCACCTGAGTCACGCGAAGGACCTTGCAGGCGGTTTAGGTCGAAGTCCCAAGTCCGAGAGCGACGCCATCTTCGGTCTCCGCCGGACTCAATACGACATTTTCTGATTATTTACGCCGTTTCTGGTCACTGCACTTTGTATTTCACATCCACTGCAGTCCATATGTTGCTACTTCTATGGCAAACACAGCAGTCTTGTGACGAAATTTATAAAAAACTCATAAAACTCTAATTAATGACTCCTTAAACACATATTTTCTAGTGACCCAAACTTTACCAATATTTTACTCTGAGAACGCAAGCACTTTTAAAAACTACTGAGGGCGCTCTTACCCCTACATATTTCATTCTACTTAGCTTTATTTATTTTACATAATTCACATAATTTTTGGTGTATCTAATATGTAATTGGAATAAATATTCAAATAAGAATATAAAGAAACGCCATATAATCTATACCCTTAAAAGAACAAGAAACCAATGTTTTGCTTTAGAATATATATTTTAAAAAAATCTTCATATCTTACGGATACCGAATAATCGACTAGGATCCCTAAAATCTTAAAAAGAGATAAATCCACACGCCACATCTAGCGCCTAGAATGCTGGAACGAGCGGCCGCCAGACCCTCGCCAGACGCCGGAAGAATAACACGTAGAACGATGCTCGCTGCCAGGAGACTGTTCTCGGCCCGGGGGTAGTATCTTCAAACATTAATTAGTTCATGATGAGCAATTTGGCGGCTTATGTTGGTTTCTGAGAGAGGCGGTAACCGTGTCCGATGACTTCATGAGAGCTGGTAATTTTGTTCTAAATTTACGTTGGTGGTTGATGAAGAAACTAGCTCGACACCGGCTTTAACTTCGCGTAATTTTGATCGATTTCTGGATGATTGACAGTTATTGGTTGGTAACATATCCCATGTTGTTACCAGTGTCACAGATATCTCAGTTATCATCGTTCCCAATATTTTCAAAGACAGGCTCATTCGACCTCACTCCAACCACTTCGTTATTGTTCTTCCGAGCAGGTGATGATGAAAACATTCGTTAATCATGTCAGTGAATGAAGGGGAGACATGATTAAATCGAGTTTGGCTTGATAGTGGATTGCACCTTTTCCGTTGTGGTATTTGTTACCGAGAGCGACCTACCCTCCAGAGCCCAAGTCCCAAAACCAGGGTAGCATGGGCACATAAAAATCCAAACAACCTTTCTTACCTTCTATTCATTCCTTGGACAAGGGGACAAACCCCCTTGTACCCCCTTCACTAGCACTTGTGCCAACCCATAGAAAATGCAACATAAGAACTCTGGTTGTGTGAGGGTGATGTGGACTTATTCTCCGAGTGGTAGTATGGGATTATGACTAGTTCTTATGCTTTATGATGGTAGTGTCCATTCTCCTCTCTCTTTCAGGAACATTAACCAGCACAATTCTATGAAATTTAAGTTTGCTCAAAACACCCCACATGATAGCTGGGCAGGGAAGTGTATACTGTGGGTTAATGTTGAAGTCAGTAATTCTTTGCAGTGCAGATGCAATCAGACACCAAGACCCCAATCCTACATTGCAAAATTTATTCGTCAATTAAAGTTGCTGTGACTGGGCGTGCCGTTTTGGCACTGCATGAGGGTAAGGTTGATGTGGCAGCTCCCCCCACCAACACTCTCCTGGAAACTTTGTTTTCACCTTGATATACATGACAAAATAGAACTGAAACTTAGGAGCATCAAGTGGACTTAGGCTGTGGGTATAGTTTCTTTCACATAGTCATATGATTCAGGGTAAACTTTGTTTATAATAGACAGAACTACAAAATTTAATATTTGTTTTGGTATAGGTTACCGAGAGCGATGCGCAGAGATAGAGGGAAATAGACAACACCATCTTATAAAGCATAACCACCTAGCTTATATTTACTGGAAAATGACAAAAATGTCAGCTGCATATCACCACTCGGAGTCTAAGGCGTCTTCTGTAGCATCCTTGACTCTTAATACCATATTTAGTTTAATCCTAATCCACCGTGTCCGTACCGAAGATGACAATCGCCACTGCCAGACAGGGCGAGAATAATGTTCAGTAAAATCTGTCGTACTCATTATTCTATCACCATCGTTATTGTGTAAACATGTTGGAGAGAAGAGAAATGTCGCACATGAAATTTACTCTTTTAGGAGATTTCATGTTTTTGTTTCTCTTTCTTTCTTTTAGTAATGGTATGTTTTTGGTAATTATATTTAAGAATCTATTTTAGACATCCCTTAGGTTTCAAAATTAAATATTTTTAATGTGTATTTCATGAAATTGAGAGACTTACTAATTTTTTCATAATGTTGATTATCTTCTGCCTACTTTTTTTTTTTTTTATCTCTGCACTGCTTTGCCCCTAATTGTTTAAAGTGTTCTATAAAATAATATAAACTTCTCAGTTGCTTCTGAAGATCACCTTTCCCTTCTCTTCTTCCCAGACATACCTACATGATTGAAGGGAAGGCATTGAAAAGTTGTTCATATTATTAATCAGTTCTTTATGCCTTTTAATGTTCTCAAAATTGAAAACTGACTAACATCATAGTAAATTAAGAATGTTCATACCTCTATTTTCTGTACACATTTCTTCAGGATTATCTGTTTTAAATGATTTGTTCGAAATCTTGTGTTAATGGACTGTCTCTTTAAATTTCTTTCAATTCTTGTGATGTTCCTAGTCTGTGATGTGATGGTTCTGCCCTCTGCTGTTGATGTGCATGTCCTGGTCTCAGATATTTGGGCGTGTGGGAATAGGTTTTACAAATCTAAAGGCTGGGAGCTGAGGTATGTCTTGTCTTTTTACTGCTGAAAAAATTTGTGGTAATTTGAAACATTTCTGTGTAATGTTGCTCTTCACACAAAACTGTTGCATGTTGTGTAGGGTAGCGTTTGAAGCAAGTCATGCACTCATACCTGTAAATAAGCAACAAAATCAACCAAAAGATATCTATTCAACACTCACCCTTCATGTCCCTACATATATGATATAAAAGACAGTATTAAAGATATTACTTAAAGATTTGCAGTCCAGTATAAGATTTATTTGGATAAATGAACCTTGTAATGCATTCAGACACTGCATTGTTAAAAGATTTTTCTGATAACTGATATTCATTTTTTATAGATTGGAGAAAGGTGATTGTTATAGAAAGTTATAGTCAGTCACTCAAGATCCAGTCTGATCTTCACATGATAATTATGAGGCACAAGTAGGCCTATTCATGAGGGAAATGTGATTATTTATGAAATATTCTATATTTGATAATCTAATATTTGTAGTAGTAAAATGGGTAACGAAACTGCTCTAACAACTATAAAACTTTTTTTTTTTTTTTTTTTTTTTTACAATGACACTCGTGTACAAAAATGACATTAACTGATTAATATCTATCTCAGAGTTTCCTCTTGCAGCTCTTTGCTGCGTTGAATCATGTTGAACAAGGTAAACATGTTTTCTTCAGGATGCTGTTCATGAGGTCATAGAAAAGTATACTTGCTAATTTTGTAGTAAAGTAGTTGAGAAAAACTCGGCACGTAATTCTTTCAAACGCAATTTGTGTGACCTTGACCATATATTTGTTTTGTTTCACTAACCTGGAAATACAATTTCCTTGCACGCAGCCTCTGAACTTCAAAGATTCCTCGTGGGATTATTTTGGTTTTATATTCATTATCATAAGTTATTTCCTTTATTAGAATATTTGATCAGTTGTTTAAATATTTATAATTTCATTTTCAGAATAAATATTTATGAAAATTCCAAGACTATTGGCCAAAAATAACTCTGAATGGCCACTCAAGCGATGGCGCCTGTGAAGTTCATGATGGACTTGTAATGTAACAGTACATGATTGGTGGGATCAACTTCTCCCTTCTGCACATATGCAAGATTAAAAAACGAGCTTAATATTAAAGCCTGATCCAGAGGTGCATTAAAAGTTAATCCTGGATGCTGCCAATGCGCATGCACACTAGAGATCTGGGTTAAACTTTAATACTGGATTAACTTTATGGGACGTACAGAAGACGCCCTATGTCCACAGCACCCTCACACAGCCAGATTTCTTAATATCCATTAGGTTGCCACAAAGTTATAGAAGATGGGGGTACAGTGTCCCCCCCCCCTGTGCCTAGGAAATAAATAGAAGGTAGAAGAGATTAGGTTGGGTGTGTGGATTTGCTTGATACCCTGGTTTTGGGACTTGTCTCTGGAGGGTGCATGTAGACTAGAGTATTTTTCATGCGCGTAAAACCTCATTTTGTCTACATTTGCGCAGACAGATGATGAAACAAGTGCACGGAAAGGTCAAAAGAATTATATGTGCAAAAGATGATTTTTAAAAGGACTAAGTGTGAGCGTAAAGTTACCTGAGAACTAGATTTGTGTGGACAGAATATGACCAAATAATTTTTGCGCAGGGACCATGTTCCCCGCATAGACCAAACTCTACAATCTGGGGTGTCTCACTCTCATTAACAATTACCTTTGCTTCCAACGGCCATGTAGTATAAGGTAAAATTTGCGTTTTATGGACAGTATGACAAAAAATAAAGCCTTTTTATCTATGGTAATACTTGTGCAAGACCTAATGATAATTTAAATAGACTAAATCCCCAACTCCACGTTACAAACTTTGTTCAACAATCTTGATTCAGGAGGGGGGAAGGGCTCTGCCTGGGAAGCATAGTCTTCACCTTGTTATGCCCTGCAAGATAGAGCTGAAACTTGGGAGCAATGAGTGGACTTAAGGGGAAGAGTCGTCAGTACGGTTCACAAATTACAATTTTTTCAAACTTTGTGTGTGGATACATGACCATGTGACGCCCCCAGGGCGCCGGTTGCCAGATGCGTAACGCGCTCCTTTCCGCGGTTTAAAGGTCTGGGGTATTTAAATGCCCTCGTGCTGCCACACCCCTTTTTGCTTCATGCTTTGTTTTTCTTGTATTTTCAGCGTTTTTTCGGCTGTTTTTGCGAATTTCTTTGGTATGATACTGCTGTACAATAGTTTAGGCTGCGTTCAGCAGTCAGGCAGCAGCAACAAGGATGGGAGAACAGTGCGATTGATAAAGTTTTCGGGGGTACACATGATTTGTTTTCAACCTGTTGAAAACTAACAATATGTCATTTATATATTAGAAATGCATAATATACGATTTATTATGTGAATAAAGATAGATAGTACATATGACATTTGGTACTCCTATTTATTGACTAACTCTGGTCAGAAGGAAACTGCAGTACTATTCACTATAAGGAAACCATTACATAATTTTTGAATTCTATCATCTCGCTGTTTTTACGCAGCTTTTTTAATCCAATTTCTTGTATACAAGCATCACGTACCCATGCACTTTGTGTAAAAAAATTATTGACCTACCTAAAAAACTAAAGTAAGCAGGATCGGATAACGAATTTCATGATCGTGTCGACGACTCTTCCCCTTAAGCTATGAGCAGCGCTTTCCTTCATATTTTTCCTTTATTTATTGCAATACCATTTAGACCTGCTGATTATTTCTTGTACCAGTGACTACTACTTTTTATCCTCTACAAGAATATACTCTACAATTTGCCCAAGCCTTGTACATCCTTCCCATAAAGAACAATCTATGATACTTTTGGTATAGATTTTACTGGAAAATGTAATGGCACTTTAATAATTAAGGAAAAAACTACACTAAGTAATACATGAAATAATCTGCATAGGCATAAAGTGAAGGAAATAGGTTGCAGCAAATGCTGCAGGGAGAGTAAGTCCACGGCATTCACGTGAGGGAACCAGAGGAAGAGCCCCCAATAGGGGTGAGGTCTGGGAGTAAATCCCCCAGTTACGAAGGTGTTTGGTTCATACAGTGACGTTTGTGAATATCCAAGGAATTACTGGATTAATAGGGACTTAATCTCAGAATGATAATGTCACTTCATAAACATTACCAATACTTTCATTTGTATCATTTTCGAAGGTAAATAGCAAAAGATTCAAGCATATTACAGTGTGGATAATTTGAAAGAAGAAATGATAATTGCAGGATTTGGATGGCTATGTGAAACTAAAAAATATTAGGCACTTTTTCAATGGCTTTTTTTATAAGAGAAAAAACTATTGTATAAAGTAATCTGCATTGGCAAAGAATAACATCAGAAATAAAGAAAATAAGTTGACAAAGGCTGAGCTCCGACTTAATCCACTGGGATTGGGTGTGGGTATGGGGCAAAACCGTTATTAGAGAGGACTTTTGGTTCTTTTGGTGAAGTTTTTGTATTCCAAACCCCTCTCCCCTAGGATATTGGCTGGGGTGATAGGGACTTGTGTTCATATTCACACACTTTGGTCACCTTTTACAGAGACTTGGACCTGGAGTTCCAGTATCTCAGTATCAGACAGTCACCATCAAGTTGCCTCAGATTTGCAGCCATTCAAAGCCGATCAGGATTCTGTTGGTGACGAACCTGTATTTCTTTACAATACAGTCCCGTCAAACCATTGCTCATTGTCAAGGGGGCTTAGGAGATAGAGCCTGAGACCAATGTAGGAGATTGCCCCTGCCTTAGGCCTCAGCCCTTGCCTCAACAAATATTGCGTGAACTTCTTTTTTCTTCTTTTATGGGGTTTTAGATATATTTTGTATGGTCTTCTCCCCCTTCCATTTTCCTTCTTTTCATCCCCTTCTATCCATTTCCTAATGTGGAAAAACCTTACTAAAAGGACAAAAGGCTGACTTTGTACCAGTCATGAACAGCCTTCAGAAGCAATGGGTACAGTATTCCTTGGTTAATCACATAACCCTTACCTCTCATGGGGACTCTTGAGAGGTAGACTGTTTCTTTTCCCCATTTATTTCAGGCTCACCATGGCCAGTGATTGAAGATGTTCTACCCTTATTAGGGGCATTTAGGTTTACCTATTCATCAAATAGACAATCTAAATTTGATTTCATTGGTTTTCTGACCCCTGCCACTCCTTTGACCACAGCTCCAACCACTTATACTAATACCCCCTCCTCGATGTCTGCAGACAACTCTATCCTTTCCAAACCACCGCCCAGGTCATTACACAACTTTCAGAATGCACACCTTCCTCTCTTCTAACATTTTCTCCATCTCCTACTGAACAGTCTTCATCGTCTTCCCCCTCCCCCCTCATTACCAATCTTCATCTTTATTACCCTCGTCCCCACAATAGTACTTCACCCCACCAGCCATGTTATCTTCCTCCCACCTTAGTCCTACTGCCTCCACCTCTGCAAACCTTTTGAGCACTGTTTGGCCCAGCCAAGTGGGATTAATTCTTTGTGATTACCCCTACAGTCCCCTTACTCTGACAATACTCTTCTCTTCCCAGAATGTCTCCAAAAACAAGTAGGCAAAGTTTCCGTACACAGTCGTTCTGATCCTTCTCACTTTGTGACATTTACATCCGAGTCCCAAGCTTGTGCACTATCTACCCTGACTGACTTCAGTGGCAAACTTATTCCTGCTTAACCTCACTCCTTTCTTAATACTTGTACTGGAACGGTTTCCATCTCCCCAACTGATTGTCCTATATACTACGATAAAAACTCGTCGTGTGAAAATGACCTACTTGCATGCCATGTTGACGATGATGCAGTAGCAGTACAGTGCGACATTATTCCTACCAGAAGACAATGTAAGTCTCTGACCAATATTCTCAAGAATAGCTTCCGGAGACATGACCTCCCCCATGAAATTTATATTGAAGGAGTGTCCTGCCCTGTCCGACCATATCAACCCCTTCCTCGTCAAAGTCAGAAGTGTTGATGTTTTAGCCCAACCTGGCCATGACTGTTCAAACTGCCCTGCTCACCCATGTATGCGTGCCTTTTTTGGTGGCTCCCATAATGTATTTTTATAGCAGCTACCTTGCCTATAAGCTCAAATGTGAGGCAGTATAGTTCTCAGATCAAAACTTATTTTTTTTTTTTACTAAATTCAGATATTCCTATCTCTACATTTCTCTAATGCCTACACCTCTTTCATTTCACATCACACCAGACAACCTAAACATTCCACTCCATCTTTACCACCACATCCTCTCCTATACCCTTTTCTTCCTCCTCTGCTCCGAACATCTGTTCCTCTTCTCCTTCTCACAAGAAAACCTATGGTTCTCAGGCCTCCCCACCCAACTCCCCTCCAGAAACTCTTGAAGACATCTAAAAACTCCTAGACATGATCCAAGAGAATGTCCCACTCTCTCATCCACCTCCAATCCCTCTATTCCTGCTCCCTCTACTACATTTGATCCAAGGTTCAGTCACAGAAAATCATGTCACATAACCTGTTAGATCAGGTTTCATCACAGCCTCAACATGGATCAAATCCTGGTATTTGACTTTCTGAGTGGTAGCTCGCCCAGTTGTGTGGCTTGTAGGCCTAGTCCACATAAACACATCATATATGGTATGGTATCATGTATGCCTCCCCCCCTTTTTTTCTTTTTTTCTTTTTTTTTCTTTTCAAAAAAACAGATTTGCTTTTTGGCTGTTTTCTAAGGTCTGTATCAAGATGGCAATATACTGTTTTCCCTTGCATAAGTTCCATATCATCTCTCGGTAGATGAGGATGATATTGATGAATAACATTGTATTGCTTGTGCTTTTTTTTTTTTTTTTTTACATTTTCATGTTGTTCAATTTTCTGTAATACCCTGCACCACTAGTCAGTGTACAGGAATAGCATCCTGAGCATGGAAATAATGGCCTTCCAGGAGCCAGCACTCTTCCAGTCATGCTTATGAAATGGTACATTCCACCCTCATTTAATAGTAGTAAAGTGTCCCTTCCTAAATGCCAATTGAGTCTAATCTTCCAAGAGCTTTGAGCAGTCATGATGAGTCATTACTGTCACCCCAGCCCTCACCCAAAATTTTCATGATATATTCCCATCACCCTGACTTCAGACAAAAATTTCACTGGTGTAGTATTCCCTTCACCTAGCCAAATTTTTTCACAACTTGACAGTCATATCAAATGGATCCCATGGGTTGAATGTAGAGGAAGTTGCATATTCAATTTATCAATGAAAGAATTCTAATTCCAAACCTCTGAAACATAAATGTGGAGGGGGGGAGTAAATTTTTTTTACCAAAAACAATGATATTGTTTGGCTCACCCAGGCACCCATCATGTGTGTAAAGATAATCCAGTCCATGGTGCATGCAATGGTTCAGTTTAGGAAAATTTTAACTCATTCAGTGCTAAACAAGGCCGACACTGATTCAGACGCACAAGTCTGGGACTCGATCTGAGACTTACTTAGTCTTGGATTTACCAGTCTGTTGGCATGAATAATGGTTGCTATTGGGGCTGTGAACTACTAAAGTCACTGTAATGGATGAATATGTACTCCCGTGAGCTATAAATGCATTATTTCTCTTTTGCTCTTATAAATTTCATACTAAATACTGCTCAGTGCTAATGATGTATTGCCCGGTACCTATACACACATTATTTGTCTCTCTTTCTCTTTTAAATTTGTTATTAAATACTGCCCAGTACCGCCCGACACAACCCGTTCCTAATAAATCTACTGCCCGGTAGCAATAAACACAGTATTTGTCTCCCTTTGTCTTATAAATTTCATAATAAATACTGTCCGGTACCGGCCTGGTCCTGCTGGTGCTAACATATGTACTGTCCGGTAGCTATAAACACATTATTTGTCTCTTTTTGTCATATAGATTTCATACTAAATACTGCCAGTAAGCCATAAACACATTGTTTGTCTCTTTTTGTCTTATAGATTTCATACTAGCTACCGGGCATACTAGCACCAGGCTAATACTGCCTCGTACTGCCCAGTCGCCAACCCCAAGAAAAACCGCTCCTTTAAACAAGCTTTCGAACAAGTGGTCAACCATCTCTGTATCTATTTCCGTTCTCGAGATATTTTGTTTCTAAATTTGTGGTACTCTTATGTATGTATGTATATATGTCCCAATAACAGTCGGATGGGACCCTCCTTGTATTTCGGCTTCTCTTGGGACGATTCCAATGAACCTTGCTACTCTTGAACATTGGCCCGACTAGGTTCACATCCCAATATTTCATGTTCCTATCTTGTCTGGAAACCTTTTTTCTAGAACCCTCAAAACCTGCGATTTGGTATAAACGTGCATCAACATTGGCCCCGGCTTCAGATAGAAGTTCTTGGATCTGACTTTTCGTAGGTTTTTGCTATATGGCTATGTTTTTGGGAGTGGATATGAGTTAGTTTGAGTTGATTGGGTAAATATCTGGAGGAAGTTTGGGTTATGGGTCCCCGGGGCACTGGCCAGTGCAGTGATGAATACGGAATATAGAGGTGTATACTGAAATTGGTAATACCCATATTTTCCTTGGTTTTGAGTGGTATGTTCACCAAAAGTTCTCCTGAAAGCCAGTGTTATACCATTGATTAACTTTGATTACTTCTAAACAGACTGGCTGCCTTTTGGAGTCAGAAGTCAGCAGAAGCACACCCTGCCAGACTTGCCCTACGATTACAATGCCTTGGAACCCGTCATCTGTGCCGAGATCATGCAACTCCATCACTCAAAGCATCACCAGACTTATGTCAACAACTTGAATGTAGCTGAGGAAAAATTAGCTGAAGCCCAAGCTAAAGGTCAGCTGAAATTTCCTTAGTTATCAACACATCTAAATAGTTTGTACAGATTTCAGGAAGTGATGACTAAATATACTAATTGTAGTTCTAGTGAATGGATTTTTAGAATTATGTATTTGTCCTCATTCTGTTTACTTCCTTGCAAAAGAAGTTAAAGATAAGTCTATAACGTTTTGTCTTGCTACAATTTTAGTTGTCATATTCTTCTCTCTCTCTCTTCTCTCTCTCCTCTCTCTCTCTCTCTCTCTCTCTCTCCCCTCTCTCTCTCTCTCTCTCTCTCCCTCCCTCTCTCCCTCTCTCTCTCTCTCTCTCTCTCTCTCCCCCTCTACTCTCTCTCCCCCTCTCTCCTCCCCTCGTCTCTCTCCCTCTCTCTCTCCCTCCCTCCTCTCCCCCCCCCTCCCCTCCCTCTGTCTCATCTCTCCTCTCCTCCTCTCCTTTCCTTTCCTTTCCTTACTTTCCCTCTCTCTTAGCTCTTTCTAATCTTTTCTCCTTTTTTCTTTTTATTTACGAATATTTCCTGCTCCAGGTGATGTGAACACAGTTATCAGCTTGGCCCCAGCACTCAAGTTTAATGGAGGTGGTCACATCAATCACACCATCTTTTGGCAGAACCTCTCCCCAGATGGTGGAGAACCTGAGGGTAAGAATTTCCTTTGTAGTGCAGTTAGTGTCATATTAACCATGTATACAAAATTTGCTATGTTCACCATTTCCAAGAACAGCAGTGCCAGACGCATCAGACATAAGAAAACATCTATGAAAATAGACTTTTGGATATGGTTGCCAGAAGTTCAGAGAGAAGGGGAGTTTATGGCAATAATGTCAGTGATGAGGACAAAATCATTGATAATGAAGACTTATGATGACAATGTTGGTAAAGACAATGATAACATTGACATATGAACAAATATAATTATCACAATAATAGCACTAATTATTTTCTTATAAGTGTATAAAGTTTCATTGTGGTGATCTTACCTGTAACAACAATAGTTATGACAAGTCAGTGATAATATTACAACAGAGTAAAGGAAAAAACATGAAAATAAGAAAGTCAATAATAACAATAATGATACAGATACAAATAATAATGATAATGATAATAGTGATATAATGATAGTGATAATGATAATAATAGCAGCAACAATAATCACGATAAATATCAATTTGTAGGTTTAAAGGTACAGTCCCACAGAGCATCGTGCAACCTCAACTTTTTCATTTTATGAGTATGTCCATCAGTTTTTTTAATTAATAGCCATTCTTTAGAAGAATCTAAAGTTAAACTCATTTATTCAGAATAAACAGTCTTCAGCCATAAGATTGATGGGCAAGGTGTGAGGATAGTATAGTGTGTAATTATGTTCATAATTTTATTATATCATTTATAAATGATATCTTGTATATTTGAGTAAAGGATGCTATACAAAAAAAAAGATACATGAAATTGCTCTTTAGGCTTTTGTTAGCAACTTTAAAGGTGAATGTTCTCTCTTTGGTATACACGTTTAGGACACCTATAGTTTGTTATAGCTATATGAGAGAATGTAAGTATGAGAGTGAGTGTGTGGATGTGAGTGAGTGTGTGGATGTGAGTGAGTGTGTGGATGTGAGTGAGTGTGTGGATGTGAGTGAGTGTGTGGATGTGGGTGAGTGTGTGGATGTGGGTGAGTGTGTGGATGTGGGTGAGTGTGTGGAATGTGGGTGAGTGTGTGGATGTGGGTGAGTGTGTGGATGTGGGTGAGTGTGTGGATGTGGGTGAGTGTGTGGATGTGGGTGAGTGTGTGGATGTGAGTGAGTGTGTGGATGTGAGTGAGTGTGTGGATGTGAGTGAGGATGTGGGTGTGAGTGAGAGTGTGGGTGTGGGTGTGAGTGAGAGTGTGGGTGTGGGTGTGAGTGAGAGTGTGGGTGTGGGTGTGAGTGAGAGTGTGGGTGTGAGTGAGAGTGTGGGTGTGAGTGAGAGTGTGGGTGTGAGTGAGAGTGTGGGTGTGAGTGAGAGTTTGGGTGTGTGAGTGAGAGTGAGAGTGAGTGTGTGGGTGAGAGTGAGTGTGTGGGTGAGAGTGAGAGTGAGAGTGAGTGTGTGGGTGAGAGTGAGAGTGTGGGTGTGAGTGAGTGAGAGAGATTGTGGGTGTGAGTGAGTGAGAGAGATTGTGGGTGTGAGTGAGTGAGAGAGAGAGTGTGGGTGTGAGTGAGTGAGAGAGAGAGTGTGGGTGTGAGTGAGTGAGAGAGAGAGTGTGGGTGTGAGTAAGTGAGAGAGTGTGGGTGTGAGTGAGTGAGAGAGAGTGTGGGTGTGAGTGAGTGAGAGAGTGTGGGTGTGAGTGAGTGAGAGTGTGTGTGGGTGTGAGTGAGTGAGAGAGAGTGTGGGTGTGAGTGAGTGAGAGAGAGTGTGGGTGTGAGTGAGTGAGAGAGAGTGTGGGTGTGAGTGAGTGAGAGAGAGTGTGGGTGTGAGTGAGTGAGAGAGAGTGTGGGAGTGAGTGAGTGAGAGAGAGTGTGGGTGTGAGTGAGTGAGAGAGAGTGTGGGTGTGAATGAGTGAGAGAGAGTGTGGGTGTGAGTGTGAGTGAGAGAGAATGTGGGTGTGAGTGTGAGTGAGAGAGAATGTGGGTGTGAGTGTGAGTGAGAGAGAGTGTGGGTGTGAGTGTGAGTGAGAGAGAGTGTGGGTGTGAGTGTGAGTGAGAGAGTGTGGGTGTGAGTGTGAGTGAGAGAGAGTGTGGGTGTGAGTGTGAGTGAGAGAGAGTGTGGGTGTGAGTGTGAGTGAGAGAGAGTGTGGGTGTGAGTGTGAGTGAGAGAGAGTGTGGTGTGAGTGTGAGTGAGAGAGAGTGTGGGTGTGAGTGTGAGTGAGAGAGAGTGTGGGTGTGAGTGTGAGTGAGAGAGAGTGTGGGTGTGAGTGTGAGTGAGAGAGAGTGTGAGTGTGAGTGAGAGAGAGTGTGGGTGTGAGTGTGAGTGAGAGAGAGTGTGGGTGTGAGTGTGAGTGAGAGAGAGTGTGGGTGTGAGTGTGAGTGAGAGAGAGTGTGGGTGTGAGTGTGAGTGAGAGAGAGTGTGGGTGTGAGTGTGAGTGAGAGAGAGTGTGGGTGTGAGTGTGAGTGAGAGAGAGTGTGGGTGTGAGTGTGAGTGAGAGAGAGTGTGGGTGTGAGTGTGAGTGAGAGAGAGTGTGGGTGTGAGTGTGAGTGAGAGAGAGTGTGGGTGTGTGAGTGTGAGTGAGAGAGAGTGTGGGTGTGTGAGTGTGAGTGAGAGAGAGTGTGGGTGTGTGAGTGTGAGTGAGAGAGAGTGTGGTGTGTGAGTGTGAGTGAGAGAGAGTGTGGGTGTGTGAGTGTGAGTGAGAGAGAGTGTGGGTGTGTGAGTGTGAGTGAGAGAGAATGTGGGGTGTGAGTGTGAGTGAGAGAGAGTGTGGGAGTGTGAGTGTGAGTGAGAGAGAGTGTGGGTGTGTGAGTGTGAGTGAGAGAGAGTGTGGGGGTGTGAGTGTGAGTGAGAGAGAGTGTGGGAGTGTGAGTGTGAGTGAGAGAGTGGATGTGAGTGTGAGTGTGAGTGAGAGAGTGGATGTGAATGTGAGTGTGAGTGAGAGAGTGGATGTGAGTGTGAGTGAGAGTGAGAGAGTGGATGTGAGTGTGAGTGAGAGTGAGAGAGTGGATGTGAGTGTGAGTGAGAGTGAGAGAGTGGATGTGAGTGTGAGTGAGAGTGAGAGAGTGGATGTGAGTGTGAGTGAGAGTGAGAGAGTGGATGTGAGTGTGAGTGAGAGTGAGAGAGTGGATGTGAGTGTGAGTGAGAGTGAGAGAGTGGATGTGAGTGTGAGTGAGAGTGAGAGAGTGGATGTGAGTGTGAGTGAGAGTGAGAGAGTGGATGTGAGTGTGAGTGAGAGTGAGAGAGTGGATGTGAGTGTGAGTGAGAGTGAGAGAGTGGATGTGAGTGTGAGTGAGAGTGAGAGAGTGGATGTGAGTGTGAGTGAGAGTGAGAGAGTGGATGTGAGTGTGAGTGAGAGAGTGGATGTGAGTGTGAGTGAGAGTGAGAGAGTGGATGTGAGTGAGAGTGAGAGAGTGGATGTGAGTGTGAGTGAGAGTGAGAGAGTGGATTGAGTGTGAGTGAGAGTGAGAGAGTGGATGTGAGTGTGAGTGAGAGTGAGAGAGTGGATGTGAGTGTGAGTGAGAGTGAGAGAGTGGATGTGAGTGTGAGTGAGAGTGAGAGAGTGGATGTGAGTGAGAGTGAGAGTGAGAGAGTGGATGTGAGTGTGAGTGAGAGTGAGAGAGTGGATGTGAGTGTGAGTGAGAGTGAGAGAGTGGATGTGAGTGTGGTGAGAGTGAGAGAGTGGATGTGAGTGTGAGTGAGAGTGAGAGAGTGGATGTGAGTGTGAGTGAGAGTGAGAGAGTGGATGTGAGTGTGAGTGAGAGTGAGAGAGTGGATGTGAGTGTGAGTGAGAGTGAGAGTGAGAGAGTGGATGTGAGTGTGAGTGAGAGTGAGAGTGAGAGAGTGGATGTGAGTGTGAGTGAGAGTGAGAGAGTGGATGTGAGTGTGAGTGAGAGTGAGAGTGAGAGAGTGGATGAGTGAGAGTGAGAGTGAGAGGTGGATGTGAGTGAGAGTGAGAGTGAGAGAGTGGATGTGAGTGTGAGTGAGAGTGAGAGTGAGAGAGTGGATGTGAGTGAGAGTGAGAGTGAGAGAGTGGATGTGAGTGTGAGTGAGAGTGAGAGAGTGGATGTGAGTGTGAGTGAGAGTGAGAGAGTGGATGTGTGTGAGTGAGAGTGAGAAGAGTGGATGTGAGTGTGAGTGAGAGTGAGAGAGTGGATGTGAGTGTGAGTGAGAGTGAGAGAGTGGATGTGAGAGTGAGAGAGTGGATGATGAGTGTGAGTGAGAGTGAGAGAGTGGATGTGAGTGTGAGTGAGTGAGAGAGTGGATGTGAGTGTGAGTGAGAGTGAGAGAGTGGGTGTGAGTGTGAGTGAGAGTGGAGATGAGTGTGTGAGTTGTGAGTGAGAGTGAGAGAGTGGATGTGAGTGTGAGTGAGAGTGAGAGAGTGGATGTGAGTGTGAGTGAGAGTGAGAGAGTGGATGTGAGTGTGAGAGAGTGAGAGTGGATGTGAGTGTGAGTGGAGAGTGAGAGAGTGGATGTGAGTGTGAGTGAGAGTGAGAGAGTGGATGTGAGTGTGTGAGTGAGAGTGAGAGAGTGGATGTGAGTGTGAGTGAGAGTGAGAGAGTGGATGTGAGTGTGAGTGAGAGTGAGAGAGTGGATGTGAGTGTGAGTGAGAGTGAGAGAGTGGATGTGAGTGTGAGTGAGAGTGAGAGAGTGGATGTGAGTGTGAGTGAGAGTGAGAGAGTGGATGTGAGGGTGAGTGAGAGTGAGAGAGTGGATGTGAGGGTGAGTGAGAGTGAGAGAGTGGATGTGAGGGTGAGTGAGAGTGAGAGAGTGGATGTGAGGTGAGTGAGAGTGAGAGAGTGGATGTGAGGGTGAGTGAGAGTGAGAGAGTGGATGTGAGTGTGAGTGAGAGTGAGAGAGTGGATGTGAGTGTGAGTGAGAGTGAGAGAGTGGATGTGAGTGTGAGTGAGAGTGAGAGAGTGGATGTGAGTGTGAGTGAGAGAGAGAGTGGGTGTGAGTGTGAGTGTGAGTGAGAGAGTGGGTGTGAGTGTGAGTGTGAGTGAGAGTGAGAGAGTGGGTGTGAG